CCCCCTGATGAGACCCCAGATTAATTCTATATGGATTCATGTCATCAGAGAGAATCCCTTGTGGAAAAACAGAGGAACCTTAGAGACAAATAATGTTTTGTTCATATTTTATAATAAGGTTCATTATCATCTCAGTAAACAATGCTAAATTCATTTAACAAAAATATGCAGCTCTAAAATAGACAGTGACTTAAATTAAAAGTGTTATCTGATATCTTGATTTGCATGTTGCACATTTTTTATTTGTTGGGAGAGATAAATACCAAAATAAATCTGCAACTGTATTTACGTTTTTCCTTTGTTCTCAGTTTGATCCATTTGGCTGCCGTAGCCACTATGACTTAACAGTAAGTAACGACACAGAGTCCTGTGGTTTCAGTAGCTTTTTGACCCTGACTTTGACATTCATCTTCAGAATGAGATTACAGCCCACATAAATCTCAAGAGTTCACAACCTCCATGTTTTAAACGGCACACTGTTTTCTAGAAGTCACCTGGTCTTGCCAGTGCATGACATGGAGGTGTTATGTGCTGTAATTAAGTCATTCTAAAGGTGAGAATAATGGTTCACCACAGGAGATTCAACAATCACCTCATTACGCTCTCAGAAGAAAGAAAGAAAGAAAGAAAGAAAGAAAGAAAGACAGACAGACAGACATACAGAAAGAAAGAAAGAAAGAAAGAAAGAAAGAAAGAAAGAAAGAAAGAAAGAAAGAAAGAAAGAAAGAAAGAAAGAAAGAACTGACAAAAAATGGAGAAATGAATGAACCAAAAAATGAAGCAAACAAACAATTGAAAGAAAGAAAGAAAGAAAGACAGACAGACAGACAGACAGAAAGAAAGAAAGAAAGAGAGAGAGAAAGAAAGAAAGAACTGACAAAAAATGGAGAAATGAATGAACCAAAAAATGAAGCGAACAAACAATTGAAAGAAAGAAAGAAAGAGAAAGAAAGAAAGAAAGAAAGAAAGAAAGAAAGAAAGAAAGAAAAAAAAGGAGAAATGAATGACAAAAAATGAAGCGAAAAACAATTGAAAGAAAGAAAGAAAGAACAAACAATTGAAAGAAAGAAAGAAAGAAAGAAAGAAAGAAAGAAAGAAAGAAAGAAAGAACTAACAAAAATGGAGAAATTAATGAACCAAAAAATGAAGCGAACAAACAATTGAAAGAAAGAAAGAAAGAAAAGAAAGAAAGAAAAAAGAAAGAAAGAAAGAAAGAAAGAAAGAACTGACAAAAAATGGAGAAATGAATGAACCAAAAAATGAAGCGAACAAACAATTGAAAGAAAGAAAGAAAGAAAGAAAAAAGAAGAAAGAATGAACCAAAAAATGAAGCGAACAAACAATTGAAAAAGAAAGAAAGAGAAAGAAAGAAAGAAAGAAGAAAGAAAGAAGAGAAAGAAAGAAAGAGAAAGAAAGAAAGAACTGACAAAAAATGGAGAAATGAATGAACCAAAAAATGAAGCGAACAAACAATTGAAAGAAAGAAAGAAAGAAAGAAAGAACTGACAAAAAATGGAAAAATGAAGCGAACAAACAATTGAAAAAAGAAAGAAAGAAAGAAAGAACTGACAAAAAATGGAGAAATGAATGAACCAACAAATGAAGCGAACAAACAATTGAAAGAAAGAAAGAAAGATCAAAGATAATGATGGTACCACTTAATTTGAAGGTGACATAGTCACATGTTACATGTACTTAATAATAACAGTGAATTACTACAATTAACCTTAAACCAAACCCTAACCGTAACTCTATGGTAAGTACAAGTTCATTCGTATTACTCAGAACTTATTTGAGTAAGTGTCACTGCGTCACCTCAAAATAAAGCATAACTGTAAAAATAACGAAAAAAAAGAGAGGAAAGAAGCAACAAAAGAGAGAAAGCATTGTTGTTGATCTTGAAGTTGTTCTCTGAAAACAGATTGTGTTCCTCGTCTGCAGGCTTTCTGTCCAGCAGAAATGCTCTTCATTTCGCAGGTTTGTCTGCATTATCTTGACTTTCTCTCTTCAGCTCCACATTATTATCACTGGATGTCAGTGAGTAGAAGCTGATAAATAAAGGATCAGTGAGTAAACAGTGGTCTAGATGGGAAATGATTAAAGATTATGAGGCAGATGCATTTTTCTGTCAGGATTGGAGTTATGAAATAAAGCTGTCACTGTCGTGTTTGTTTTAATTTGCTTTTCCAGAAAAAAATCTGTGTGAAATTTGTCATACTGTGGTACGATCCTCATGCTCTGAGAAACCAGGTCTGATATTTCATTCTGGTGTTCACTGGGCCGGTGAGGTAATTATTCACATTATTATGACAATAGATTTGTCAGCATGATAGAGAAACGTATTTTGAGCTGTATGACTGCAGCAACAGATGGAGCAAATTTGAACCCCACATATTAAAACTTTCAAGGTTTTAATTAAAATCCCATTTTGCGTTCATAAGGTACTCAATTTTCTCTCGCTGGTCTGAAATCCAAAGCAACAGGCCTGTGAAATTGGAAAGGAATCTTAATACTACAACGTGGAACATTCGAAATGAACATTTCAACCTGACTGACAGATAACATAATTTATGTTGATGTGCTGAATCTGTAAGTGAATCAGTAAGTCTCAATCTCTATGAAATTATTTAGCATATCCCAAAAGCTATGGTACTACACAATGGTACAAAACATCTCTATCTCTTCGAGTTACCAGGTGGCGAAAAGTGACTGTCTTTATGAGAGAATCAATCATCCGTCCATTCAAAAATGTCACTGAATCATTTTCTAAACTGATTCCTTCAAAAACGCTAATTTATAAGTGAGTCACTGAATCATTTCATTAACCAATTCATTTAAAAACACAAATTTATGAGCGAGTCACTGAATCATTTTCTAAACCGATTCATTGAAAAATACTAATTTATGAGTGAGTCACTGAATCATTTTCTAAACCGATTCATTCAAAAACACTGTATAGTATAGTACTACATTTGGTTTGAGTCGCTTCACCTCCATTCACAAATCCTCTTCCATAGCCTCATGGGATAGTAAGGCATCCATTGAATGTGCACTTCAGAATCACATGCTATGAAGTAGGGAAGTGTTCGATTTTGGACGCAGCGTTCAGGAACAAAACAAGAGACTATTTTCATGAGGGAGTCATTGAATCATTTAGCAAATCCATTCAAAATAATGTTTTATTTAAAAATGAAAGAAGTGACCGTCTATGAAATCATTCAGTGATTCATTAGCACAGCACAAAAACAGAAAGTATTGCGATATTGCGTGTAAAATGTAAACATTAAATGATTGATCTTTTCTATAAAAGCAACATTGATGTTTTCCCGTCTATTGAAGGGGTGATGAACTGAGAAATCAAATTTTCCTTGAGTTTTTGACATCTAAGAGGTCATCATATTGTAAGAATATCCTGTAAGTTTAAGAACTGAAAACGTCCTTGTTAGTCCAATTAAAGCTTTTATTGACACCAGCCTCTGAAAACGACTCGTTTTTCAAAGTGGGGAACTATGACGTCAAAGAGGATAAAACACCACCCCCGCAGAAGAAGATCAACACCTACTTCAACACGGCCGGTTTAGCCCCGCCCACCGAAGAAGACAGTCGCTGCATATGCTTCCTCTAGTTTCCAATAGGACTGCATGGTTAAACTTAATATAATTCAACTTTTTTATTGTTCAACAGTCAAAACATCAGAGTACATCACATTATTCAGTAATCAGCTTTGCAATTACACACTCCGCCACTAGTCCCCATCAGTTAAACTTTATTTTTAATGACGTTCCAGCTGATGAGGGTAAAACATTGTCCGTTTGTTCGCTTCATTTCACTGAGGACTGTTTTGTAAACAAGAAACAGGTCGAGGCTGGATATGCAGGCCGATAAAGATTAAAAAACGATAATGTGCCGTCTATATTGGATCTGACAGGAATTGTGCAACACACTGACTCTGGGTCGAACATGTATGGGCGAATCATTCCGGTTGCCATTTTACAACATTGGAAGTTTTCAAAACAATTTTCCCCCAAGTGCACCGACGAGTGAGTTGAAACTCATTATAATATGCAAAACTGTTATCCACTCACAGCAGTGGGCATTTACTTCCAAGTCTTCAATGCGAGATGCCCATAAAACCGAGCGTTTCTGAGCTGGGCTCAAAACTAGGGTAGAAGACAGCTTATTAGTTATTCATTTGGATGTTTTTGAATGAAAAAACCAAGCGAACAAAAATATAAAAAAATGTAAAAGCCAGTTTATGACCCCTTTAAGATATAAAATATTCAGAAATACAGTGCTCTTGCTCATGTGATAATTCCTAATTTACAGGCAGATATTACTACAGTAATAGACACTCGTTTCTGTCAATTTTTAGATTTTAGATTTCTTTTGCTGTCATCTGCTGCAAACTTAAAGCTATAGAGCTATAGATTATGACAAATATTTTTCTCTTTATGAGCTCTTTCCTATAACAGAGGCCCCACATTTCCCCACTTATCCCTAACAAAAATTCAGCTCTGAGAAATATTGTTTCGAGTCAAAATGACATGATAAAGAACCAAATTAATAGACGGCAAGAATTGAAATTCAGTCCATGTTATCCCTACACAAAACACTCCCATCTGTATTTGTGAAAGACGAGAGGAAATTAAATGCACTTTTAACAACCCTCTTTTATGAACTGAGCTTTACAACATTACCACCGAAAAGCCGTTTTCAAGGACAAGTGATTTCATGGCCTATGCAGCAAAAAATATAAAAATATTCCCAAATACTGCTGAGATGAACAGTGGAATACACGGGATAAAGAGGATAAAACGCTACAGTGTGGAAAAGTGCACGTAAGCATGGAACGCCTTCATCTAAGACGGACACGCTGAACAATGGCTGGGGTTTTTCACAGTCCGCTGGCAGGACAGTTGGAGCCGTGCAGCGTTTCCAAAGAGCTGAAAACATGCTATAAATCTCAGTTTCTGCTGTTTTCTGGCACAGTGCACACACTCTCACGGCTCTCTGCTGGGTATACGCAACACAGGACGGATTTCCACACGCAGGCCAAAGACGCCTGTAATACCGTTAGCATTCCCACGCATCTCAGCTGCAGTTGCCCGGCTGGCGCGTGGGACTGTGATGATATCGCTGATAGATACAACGTGGCATTTACCTCCTTCACTAATAAGAAGAACGTGATGACAGGGTCGGTAGCAAGTGATGTGTCATATTAATCTACTCAGCAAAAAAAGGCCTTATTCATGTAAATGCCACAGTGTCGCAGTAGATTAAGGTCCAATGCTTCATTACAAAGGCCTAAAACTGACTTTTTGCCCTCTACAAGGTCACACGTCTGCGAAACAAAGACACAGTGTGCGCACGTGCTTCACCAAACAGAGATGACAACAGACACGGTTCATTCCACTGCAGGAGGTGATGTGAATGTCACCACTAAAAATCCTTATTTAAAAAAGTATTTTAAAGGGATACTCCTCCAACCAAAAATGAAAATTCTGTCATCATTTACTCACCCTCAAGTTGTTGCAAACCTGTATGAGTTTCTTTCATCTGCTGACCACAAAGGAAGATATTTTGAAGAACGATTGAAACTTTGGCACCATTGACTTCCATAGTAGTATATCTTTTTTTCTACTATGGAAGTCAATGGTGCTAAACAACTGTTTGGTTCCAATTGTTCTTCAAAATATCTTCCTTTGTGTTCAGCAGAAGAAAAAAAAACTCATATAGGTTTGCAACAACTTAAGGGTGACTAAATGATGACAGAATTTTCCTTTTTCGGTGGAGTATCCCTTTAAGAAGAATCAAATTCCTCTGTTTTATCATTTAGGCTTAAAGTCACCATGAAACAAAATTTACAGTTGTTATTTTTTATGGAATATTGCAATATTTTGCACTTTATGACCCTTCCAAGTTTTCAAAATACATCTACTCAGCTATAACTAAAGAGATCATGATTCTCAAAACAACTTAAAGGGATAGTTTCAAAAATGAAAATTCTGTCAGTATTTACTCACCCTCATGTTGTTTCAACCCTCGTTCACCTTCTGAACACGAATTAAGATATTTTTGATTAAATCTGAGAGCTGGATCACTCCTCCATACTAGTCCATAGGCTTCTTGAGGGATTGAAACTTGACGGCCTCGGAAAGTTATTAAAGACACTGTTAAAATAGTCAGAGTGTCTACAGTGGCTCAATCTTAAGTTTATCAAATGACGAGAACACTTCTTGTGCGAAAAAAACAAACAAACAAAAATAACGACTTTATTTCAACTATTCATTTCCTTCTCTCTTGGCGATTTGTTGTTGTACGTCACACGCATCACACACATGACCAACGTCGGCCAATAGTGAGCCTACGTGTGATGTTTAACTGACTAGAGGCCCAAAGAGAAGGAAATTAATAGGTGAAATAAAGTCGTTATTTATGTTTCGTTATTGTTCTCGTCGCTTGATAAAGTTAAAATTGAGCCACTGTAGTCACTTGGACTATTTTTACGATGTCTTTTTGAAGCCGTCAAGTTTCAATCCCTCAAGAAGCCTATGGACTAGTATGGAGGAGTGATCCAGCTCTCAGATTTAATCAAAAATATCTTAATTTGTGTTCCGAAGATGAACAAAGGTCTTATGGGGTTGGAACAACATGAGGCTGAGTAAATACTGGCAGAATTTTCATTTTTGGGTGAACTATCCCTTTAAGCACCTTACTTTCAAAAAGATGATTTGCTCTATTTTGATGACTAACGTATTAATATCTTAACTAGAAACTTTTAACCCAGGATTTCTGTTATAATTTGAATATTTGTAAAAGAAATAACCATACCATGAGGTTGAAAAGATATTTGTGAAGCTGTTTTATACCTCTACATGACAACTGCTCTCTATGAATCAGCGGTTCAATAGACACAGGCTATTGTAATATCACACGTGGGTGTTCGAATCGAGATCGCAATCATTTAAAAATTAATTGTTTATATATATATATATATATATATATATAGCAAACTGATTCAAACCAGCAACCATAAGTGTTGTTGAATGTGTGTGTTACCACATTTACAGCTATTACAAAGCATATTTCTGTTGAAGTCATTTATTTACTTCCAAACTCAGGTGTGTATGTTATAAGAGCGTTCCCCAGAACTTAACAGGAAGTAGCGCTCCTCAAGCACTCATCTGTCCTCAGGGATTCATCATCCACCGCACGAGAGGTACATCTGTGTTTTATCTGAACCCTTTCCAAACACAACCAGAGCCCGAAGAGAGCAAGAAGCATGTGATCTGTAAACTAATTACAGCAGGTGGCAGATCCAGCATCATTCATCACTAAACAACTGCATTTGGGAGAAAAACAAATCACCCCCAAACTTTTAGAAAGACGGATCTATTTGCGAACACTTTGGTTGATTTAGATGACAAGAGATTGATAAAATTGTTAACAAATGCATGGGACAGTTGAACAGAAATGCCACAGACTTCCTGTGGTATGTTTCATGTGTCTGGAGCAGGATTCAGCTGTGTTTGTCAGCGAGATGCCCAGTGTTGGTCTGTTCTCATTATCGCAGATGAATGTCTTTGAAAACCTCTACTCAGCGAGCGAGGTCATTTGGGTGCCATCATGAAAGCCAAAGAAAGAATGTATTGCAAAAACAGACATGGTAAAAAAAAGGTTTCTCCTTACCTGGGATGACTTCAAATAGGAACTTTCCACTTTCCTCCCCATTGCTGGGATGTTCGGTGACTCTGTTGCCAGGTAGGGAAATGGAGCCCTAGAGGAACCAAAAAGCCAAAAAATAAAAATAAATAGTCAGACACAAACTGCTGAAGAAAGCAAGACGGAAATCACAGTAAGGAAAAAGCTCAGATGCATTGGAGAAAAGAATTGTTGGAAAAAATAAAAATAAAAAGTTAAATGTTAAATGTGAAAAAAACGTATTATTTAGTTATATATTTTGATTAAGATTTCAATTGAGATTTAATTTATAGAATTAAAAACTAATAATATTAAATACACTTTGGTTTAATTTATATTAAAATGATACAAAATAATAAATCAAATATAACAAAACATAAATAATAAAAAAAACATAAATAATTATAAAAAGTTAACTTAATTTAGTTTACTTTTTTATAAAATATAAAATATTTTTTGTTATATTTGATTTATTATTTTGATATAATTTTGATCCATATTAGATCAAAAATAGAAATATTATATATATATATATATATATATATATATTCATACATACATACATACATACATACATACAAACATATACATACATGTGTGTGTGTGTGTGTGTGTGTGTGTGTTGGGCATCTGAAGGCAGAAATCAGCAGTGCTGGCAGTTCAGAGGTTACAGATGGACCCCTTGGGGGTCTGTATAATAGAGCGCAGGCGGCATTAAAGTCGACAAAGCTCTTGCCATTATGTAGAAATCGGATCCTAAGCAGCACTGCGACTGCTGTGGCATTATAGATCAGTGTTTGACATGCTGGATGAACTGGTGCTTTAAATAGACCCAACATCAGCGCACCACAAGGGCCATGTTACCACCACCAGAGCATTTCCCCCATTGCTCTCAGCCTGTCGGTCTCTTTATCCTTATGAATTCTCACCCTCCTCTAGTGATGATTTCTTCTCTATTGGTTTGTATTTCTCTGTTTGTCATTTTTTTCTTATTATTACCATACTATCATGCAATATGTGTCATGTGCACAGAATGAAAACATTCTGTATATTGTACCTCATCATCTACAATACTATGTTTCAACATGACAGTATGATGTGATCGTACTTGTAGTCAAAGCTTTAACAGACATAGCCGAATCATTGTCATGTAGGGATAAGATCGAATAGGTGTTTGAAAAGAGATCGCAATATTTTAAAGATTATATCGTACAGCTCGAGTGAAGATTGCTTTAAGTTCACATAAATTAAACGTTTTTATACTCTTAAAGCCTATTAAATGTTACAAAGTGTAGCTTTCAATTATACTGTTATGTTGAATGGCTATAATTACTCCTTTCATCCCCAGAAACTGAGAAAAATCTTGATTAATTGTGACTACAGAAAAATGTGATATATTGCAATATATATATATATATATATATATATATATATATATATATATATATATATTAGAGCTGTCAATTGCAATAATCGCAATATATATATATATTATTTTCCAGATAATATTTACACACATTTTTTTTACATGTATATATATATATATATATATTTATTATTTTCCAGATAATACTTACACACATTTTTTTTTTTTTACATTTTTTTTAATTTTTAGAGTAAAATTTGTTTTTACAGATGAAAAGAAATTGCTGTCTATATTTTAAGAAGGGGTCTCACACAAGGGGATCAGCATATTGGGGCATATTATTATTTTGTACCTTAAATAAGGGTCTAACCGCTTGAAGGGAATTTCCCACTATTTTACCGCCAGGTGTGTAACTTCATCCTGCTATTTAAATTACAGAATCGAGAGATACAAATGACTGACAGTCACAGACGGCACAATGAACGCCATTAACACAACATGTGTTGAGCAATGTTTTCATATAGATTTTAATAGTAGCATTACAGTACGCGCTAACAAACTGGGGTTATTTACGGTATGCAGGGAAACAACTGCAGAGGTCTAAAGTAGTCACCTTTGAGGGAGAGTATTTCATATGTGTGCTATAGTGGGGCTTAAAAGGCACATTTTCATTGGGAGAGAGAGAGCTCAGTTACTTCCTCATCAAATATCAGTGCATATGTTCCATATCCAGTATCTCGACATGCTTGGAAACACTGAAAACATTTAGGATGCGGAGATTTAAGAAGAATACTTCACATAGCGGCTGATACATTATTTAAATCTCTCCACTAGAGCTTTGGTTACATGATATTATCAGAAAGAATCTTAATGAAATTGTAATATGAATCAAATTGAAATAAGAAAATGCAAGAGTGCTAAATAGATCACAAGCAATAGTTAAGACATTTATGTTACACAAACATTATATTTCCAATAAATGCTGTTCTTAGTTTGGATTTTTCTATTCAAAGAATCCTGAATAAAGTATCACAGTTTCCAAAACAGAATAAACAGCAAATCAGCATATCAGAATGATTTCTGAAGGATCATGTGACGCCTAGGAGTGGAGTAATAATGCTGAAAATTCAGCGTTGCGTTGCAGAAATAAGTGTTCAAAAAAGAAGACAGTTATTTTAAATTGTAATACTATATCAAAATGTTACTGTTTTTACCGTTTATCAAACATATGCCGCCTTGATAAGCATAAGAGACTTTTGAATGGCAGTGTATGTCTAACTTCCTGGCGGTAAATATAAGAGATATAGTGAGGTCTGACTTAATAACGAGTTTGGGTTTTCATAACGAAATCACAAACATGCAGCAGTGTCCATAAATGTCACAAGCCAGTTGTTGTTTTCTAGACTTCGTGGAATCTTTGAGCCATTAGGATAGGTTTACTATGATACTCAGTAAAGTCCTTATAAAAAAAATACTTGGTCTAGATTGTAGGGTTCCTGGATGTAAGTGGTGCCTGTCATGGTAATACGAGCGAAAGAAGTGAAAAGCAGCCACATATGACGATCATTACACAATGACCTCTTCCCCTGGGGTTTTAAAGTCTCTCTGCATGTGGTGCAGAGACTTGCCTCTGTTAAAACATCATAAACCTTTACGAGATCTATAAGCAGGATCCTGCTGACAGTGCGTTCAAGTTGAATTCAAACTTCTTAAGCGACGGAAACTCTACCTGCCGGAACATTGGTGGGGCTCGTGAAGATAGCACAAATTTCAACCCACAATGAAGCAGGTCACCAGTTTGATGTGGGCAGCAGTTCCTGTTTTAGAACCGGAAGGCTTGAGGGTGGGTTGCTAAAGACATGGGCCCTTCAATTAAAGGCATTTTTGTTGCTCCCAGAGGCATTCCATGTGTTTCCAAAAACATGGAAAGACACATCATCAAAAGGACGGGAACAAAACCCCGACCCATTCCAGAGCAGAGGAACCATGCGTCTCCTTGTCACACTTCCTTGCTGACTCTACACTCACATCAAGAGATGTGAAAGAATTTGTATTTGCCTCGGTGAACCACAACAATGATCATGATATGTGGAGTATGTCCCAAAGCATGCTGGGATTACTCAAGCATGCCAACTTTCATAAATAACCTACATTTTAAGTGTACTTTTCTGATGTACATAGTAAGAACACATTTTTCCATTCCACTGTGCTACTTTGGTACCACTTCCTTTTACAGTACAGTTCTTACAGTGTACTTGCCTAAAAAGTACTGGCTAAGATAAGGTGAGTACATGGAACAGGGGTAGGTTTAGGGGTAGGTTCAGGGTTAGTACTAGTTATTACCCAGTAACTGTAGTTACTAAACTAAGTACATAGTATTTACATGGGTAACTGGACTGTAAAAGGAAGCGTCACCGCTACTTTTCCATTGTTTTTCCTATGTAAACCCACGCTAGACAGATGTTTTTAACCCTTGTGTCTTTTGTAGCGTCTCACACGTGACACGTTGTCCTAAAAATGCCACACTCAAGTTAAAATAAGTTGACAACACTGTCTCAGCTCGTGTCTCTGCCCGCCTTTCAGACATCTCTGCTTAGATGAAGGATCATCATCTGCAGCTCAACCTTGCGAAGACAGAGCTCCTTGTAATCTCTGCAAACCCATCAATTGACCACAACTTCGCTGTGCAACTTGGGTCCAAAACACTAACAACATTCAGGACAGTAAAGGGATACTCCACTTTTTTTGGAAATAGGCTCATTTTACCACTCCCCCAGAGTTAAACAGTTGAGTTTTACCGTTTTCGAATGCATTCAGCCGATTTTCGGATATTTAGAAGAATATCAGTAACCAGACAGTTTCTGGTCTCATTGACTTCCATAGTTTATTTTTGTTTTCCTACTATGGAAGTCAATAAGACCAGAAACTGTCTGTTTACTGATGTTCTTCTAAATATGCGAAAAATCGGCTGAATGCATTTGAAAATGGTAAAACTCAACTGTTTAACTCTGGGGGAGTGGTAAAATGAGCCTATTTCCAAAAAAAGTGGAGTATCCCTTTAAGGAACCTGGGGATAGTGTTTGACGAACATTTGAGCTTTTCCACCTACATCTCAACAACGCCCCGGTCATGCATATTTGCACTCTGCAGCATAAGGATAATCAGACCCTTCCAGTCAGAATACACAAAACAGCTACTTGTCCAAGCGCTTTCAAGATTTCAAGACTGGACTACTGCAAATGCTCTACTAGTGGGACTTCCGACCAGCATGACTGAGCCTCTGCAGATGACCCAGAATGCAGCAGTTTGTCAAGTCTTTACTTAAAGGGATAGTTAATTTTTGATATGCTTTAGCTTACCTCAAGGGGATCCAATATGTAGGTGTCTTTGTTTCCACAGCATTTTCAATTTTGACATTTTTTGGTCAAACCGTTGTTGTCTGTCAGTCATACACTTGAGGTGAAGGGGGTCCTCAATCGGTTCACCTCAAAGAGCATGCACAGAGAAGTCCAAATTAAACATGATTTAATGACTCGTACATGTAAGTACACATTGATGGCCTAAGACACGAAACAAGCGGTTTGTGTGAGAAAACTAACAGTATTTATATCGTTTTACCTCTTGTAATCATAGCCATGACAAAATGATCTGATGGCACGGGCGCTTCGGTCTGCAAATGCGCTGAAAGTGATCGCTTGCGCGCCTACGTC